ACATTTTATGTACATATATATATACACACCAGTGTTATATGCATTCAAATGTCATTAAATCAAGTAGAGAAAAACTAAGGTGATGTCTCAGCTTTCCCAAGTGGGAAGTAGTCATGTTTCAGTATTTTTTGGGATAGTGCACCCCAGGTAATGTGTTAATGGCTTTGTAACACTAATGCTATCAATAACTGAGAAATGCTTATTATACATTGCTATACTAAGGCAGTATTGCAATGTACATATCACTGGCTTCTCCACAGAACTGGAAAAAAACAGGTAAGTTACAGCATTTGCTCAAGTTCAACATTAAAGTTTTCTATTAAGTTATAAAGAAATTTTTTTTTCTTTAAATCCAAGCTAGTTTTTTCCATTGTTATTGATACATGATCCTTCTGACCAAGAGGTAAAAAAATATTGAAACCTTTTAACAATGTAAATGTCTTGGTGCCTTTTGAAATGTATGTCCTTTTTCATACACTTGTGTTATGGATCAAGTGAGAGCTTTGAACAAACCCTGCCTTAGGCTCAGATTTTTCACAGCAGCTCTGCTTAGGTGACCTGCACCTAAATTGCTCTGGCTCACATGTTCTCAAGAATGGTAGCTCAGGTTTATCATAAAATGAGTTATTAAATAGACTATCATTAACAGTAGATTAACAGAAAAAAGTCCTACACAGAATTTCTTACTATACAGGATAAAACAAAAGAACAAAGAGCAAAAGAATAGATTACATAAAACAATGCATGACATCAAGGTACCAAATAACGGCTAGCAAAGAAATAGTATAGATTAGGAGTCAATGTAACTTACCACCAAATTGATGATGGGGTACACAGAGACCTTTCACTCAACCCTCCAGAGACTAACTCAAGACAGGCATCTCAAACCTTGAGGAGAGATCCCCACAAATTTCCAAGGAATGTGTAGAAGATGTCTGCTTTGTGAAAGTATGGTGTAGCTTTTATAGTTTGTAAAGTTAAGTGCCTGTCAGTCAGAAATTCAAGCTTTTCTTCCTACAATCTTGCTTTCAAGGCAAGATGTTTATTGTTAGCTGGGCATGTCACCTCCATGGTGCCAAAATAACTTGCTACAAGACAAGCTGTCCTGATTGAGTTATTTCAGCAATTAGCAAATGCTTGTGAGGGGGAAGATGCCCTGAGCTACTGCATCAGCTGATAGGTAACAGGCCCTCCTAGGGCAGGGGGACATCCTGCCACAACTTTTTCAAAATGTTGTCATTGTGGAGATACTAGTCATAATTCAATAGGCAAGGTTTCAAATGAGACTCTTTTCTGGGGTGAACAGATTGATGGCTGCATGCCAACTGGATCAGGAAGCACCTGCATAAAAGCAGTTCTATAGATACACAATATAAGATTTGCCAGATATCAAAAAATTATTTTATCTAAATATTATAGGATCCATCTGTGTCATTCTCCTTCTCAGAAGCCTCAATGCCTCTTTTCTGTTTTGAGGCCTTACACAACAAACATTTAAGCCATTAGTACCTTCGTGCATATGAGTGAAAAATCAGGTCCTGTGTGAGTTCTGCCTGGCAGGTGCCACAGATGACTATTATTTTAGGATGTGTTGTGGGTTAACACTGGTCAGCATGTCAGCCCCACACAGCCACTTTATCCACCATTTTCAGACAAGGAGAGAATAGGAAGAACAAAAGCAATGAAATTCAAGGGGTTGAGCTAAAAATAGTTTAAAATGGGAAGGAACAAGGAAGAAGAAAGAGAACAACAATAAACAAGAATAAAACAAAAGCAAATGATGTGAAGAAGTGAGTCACCTCCCACAAGCACACTGATACTGACACCTGGTTAGTCTCCAAGCAATGTCTACATTCAAAAAAACCCCCAAACCCTCCCCACCCATGGTATTCTATGGCATAGGATATTCCTTTAGTCATTTTGGGTCAACTGTCCTGGTTACATCCTCTCCCAATATCTCATGCTGCCCCAACCTTCTGCTGAGGCAGAGTTGGGAAAAGAGAAAGCCCCAATGCCATACAAGCCATGCAACAACACTGTGTTAACACCACTGCTTTAGTCACAAATCCAAAACAGAGAAGCAGCTGGAAGAAAATTAACTCCATCCCAGCCAGTCCCTGCATAATATTTGTGTCTGTGCTCTCTATATTCAATCCTTAGCAAGTATAGGACTTTACCCTGCATTCAGATAATTCAAAGCAGAGATGCACTGGCTGTAAGGACACTAGTGCAGCTTCTTATTGAAGGATCAATGGGGAGTGAACATATAAATTTTCTACTTCCCTAATCAGTTTTTTGTGGGCATGGAATTACTGAGAATTACTTTTCTGGCAGCTAAGCCAGGCAAATATTTTCACTATTTGATATTCAAAATCACGGTTTTGCAGTTTTCCTCACATTTCCAGCTTTCTCTTAGGACAAAGGAAGGCCAGCCTTCCATGAAACATGAAATCCACAAATTGGCAGTAAAACTTCCAAGCCTGGTAAATGCTCCCTGCTTCCATGGACTTTAGAGCACAAAACTCTTCTACAGAAAGCTTCAATTCCATTAATTCATGGGTTTTAAACATACAGCTAGAGAGTTGTTCTGAAAACTCATATTTATATGAGTTAAGCTAAGCTATTGTGGTCACCAAAGCACCACACAGACACTTGCTCCCTTCCCCACCCCCAAAGACAGTTTTATGGGGAAAGATAAAAGGAAAGAGCAATTTTAAAAGAGCAAACCCCAGAAAGTTCATGGGTCCAGGTGAGAACAGTTTAACAGGCAATGGAAAAGTGGAAGAAGATATAAAGAAAAAAAAACCAAAAAACAGAGCTCATGATACAAGGACAATCACTAACCACCTTCCATGCTAGACTGATGCCACATCAGTTCCCAAGCTATAGATACTTAACTCCTTGAAACTTAACACTTTTTTATCACTGAACATGACACTGTAGGCCATGGAAAATCTTTGGTCAATTTGGGTCATATGCCTAGCTGTGTCCTCTCCCTACCTCTGACACACTCCATTCACTGGGGATAAGAGTGAGCAGACAATGCTTTCATGCTGCACAAACACTGTTCAGCAGTATCTGAAATGTTGGTGTTATCAGCACCACAGGAGTTGTTATGGTGAAAATTACCTTCATCCCAGTGGGACCAAGTACAAAGGCTTCAGGTCAGTAACTGGCAGACAATCCTAGCTCTGACCTATCTGGCAAACCCATGATCACTTCAGTCTGGCCTTTGGCATGCCCCTTGCTTTTCACTGTTACGTTACATTTTCAGAACAAAGACAAATGTTCTCTATCTCAATGTAGTGGCTGCAAGACAAATTGCTTTTGCAATGAACAGATGGAAACTGCTTGAAATTAATTTTTCTAATATAGCCTGGTTCTGCTTCCCTGGACAGTATTTTGTGTTTGCGATGGAGGTTCTATATAGGAATTTACCTGTAGTGTAGCCATGTCCAACTTTTACATCTTAATAATAGATTGCCTTCCTATCTTCAGTTCACTGATCATAGCTATGACAAATAGGTTTAACTTGTATGGTTGCGTTCTATCCAAAAGCTTCTAAGTAATTTTTACTTGATGGGAATTATTTCACTGTCACTTTAATAGTAATTTCAGTGAGGGTAACAGTGGGAAAAATGCCTTTGAAGTCACTGAAGTTGCACTTCATCACATCAGGCTTAGTGCAACTTCTAATGTTTACTGGAACTAAGAAAGCTCAGTAGCTTTAGGCAATGGGATGGCTCAGGGGCTTGGGTTGCTACCTGTCTGGTTATGAAGTGTCAGTTGCCATGGTATCAGAGCACCTCTGGGAAGACAGCTTTTTCCTGTAGGCCTGCAAACAGCATCCAGCCTAACTTAGCTCTTAAAAGTACTATCATGCCAGGGCTGATCAACAGCATGTATGCATTGGCTCAAAAAGAAAATTAGTAAATTTGAACTTGGGGTTCTCCGGAAGCTGTGATTTTGAACTTCCTGAAATTGCAGAAGACCAAGAATCCTGGTTCCTTGTTTGCTGAGCAAGTCCAATGGCATTAAATATATATATAAATATATATATAAAAATTAGCTGAACTGCCATTTGTATTTAAGAATGAAAATTATCACAGCTGCTCTCTTTTGGGATGATTCACTGACAGCAGTAACATTCAGGTACATGCTAAAATCACAGCACTGGATCAGTTGTTTGGAGCTGTAGACACAGGATAACTTATCAAAAAACCTCTGAGCAGGCTCAGGCATGACCTGAAAAGGAGTCCTCAGACCTGTCAAGCCAGCTGCAGCCTAGGCATGGATACAGTACCTAGAGTACCTTACGATGAAAACTCAGGTGCCTACACACTTGAACAGATCTATTTACAAACTGGACATACACGAGTCCGCCACACAGTGGGGCTGCACACAGGGGCTGAACAGTGGAAGAGCAGCTTGTCAGAAAATGTGCTGGAGGTCTGAATTACCAGCAAGCTGACCACGAGCCAGATGTGGACCCCTGAGGAAAAAAGGCCAGTGGTATCCTGGGTTGGTTTAGGAAGAGCACCACTAGTAATCCAAGTGCTGAGATCCTTTGTCCCTGCTCAGTACTGGTGATGCACAGGCAGATGCTGGGCCTAGGTCTGGGACACACCAAACATCCGGGAGTGAGTCCAATGACAGACTACAAACACAGTGGACTGGAGCACCTTTTACAGAAAGAGAGGCTGAGAGAGATGTAACCATTCCACCTGAAGAAGTCTCAGGAGGGTCTTGTAAATGTGTGTAAACACTCAACAGAAGAGAATAAAGAAAATTGAGTCAGACCCTTCCCAGTAACATCCACTGAATGAAGAGGAGGCAGTAAGCACAAATCAAACTAAGACATTCCATTTAACCATGAGGGAAAAAAAAATACTGTGAGGGTGATCAAACACAAGAACAGGCTTTGAGAGACGATGGTAGTCTCTTTCCCTAGAGATATTCAAACCAAACAGTCACAGCACTGAGCAACCTGCTGTACCTGACTCTGCTGTAAATGCCCACTAGCCTCAGTGGCTAAGGTTCTGTTGCCCTCATGGATTCCATGCTTCCACTTAGTTTCCAGGTGCAAAAACTCTTCCACGTCAAATGACTTAACAATTCTGTCCTGACTGCCAGCCTGCAAAACAAGGGTGATATTTGCTCATTTTCCAAAAATTATAGAGAAAGGGAAAATGCTAGTTCATATAATATTTGCCTAAATATGTGAGTTAAATTTTACAGTGGAATGAAATTTAAATTATTCAAGTATTTGCAAAACTTAAGAAAATATCTGTTCAGCATACAAAATTAAGCATAGCACAGATTTATACTACGTCCCATGATCAAAGAGATGCAGGAAGTTGGATATACTTTCTGAAAGGAAGGTTTGCAACAGAAAAAGTTGAGCAGTAGCTGAAGCAAATTCTCACTTTTCAGCATTACAAGAAAAAGAAACTCTTGCAAATCTGAGGACTGTGGAAAACATTGCTACAGAAGTGGTGAAGAACTTGTAGGGAAGGAAAAATGGCTGAGCTTCATCTAAATTTACCTAACAATTTCAATTAACCAAAACTAATGAACATATTTTCCCTACTGAGAGTAGGGAATTACTTGTTAATACATTTAAATTCATTTTCAGTGGGTACAGGTTAACCTTTAAAAAAAGTTTAATAAGTCTGGCATCTGTATCACTTCTTCCAAAAACCTGAGTCATCTTGTGAAAAATCTCTGAGACAAACATCAACAAACATTGTTTTTGTCTGTTGAGGAAGTTTTTTTTTTTCCTCTGTTGAGGAAGCATCATTTCAGCATGATGCATGCTCAATTTTCAGCACTTGCAGACTTGCCAATATTTTACCTTAGATCTTGTTTATACATGCACCTTCCTCCAGGCACCACCCAATCTGTCATAAACAATGGAAATAAGATGAAAGTCTGCCTGTTTTCATCTACTTAGTTTGCCAGCTCAATTTAAATCACTCTGCAGGAGGGAAACCTTAAACAATCAACAAAACTGTGAACACCTGAGTTCTGGTCAGCTTTGAATGTGCTCCAAGAGCTTCTGAAGAAATTGTGCTTTTAAGCCCAAGTATCTCCCTCATGACTGAAGGTAAAATGAGGTATTTTTAGTCTACAACCATGAATGGATCACTTATGGAAACATTATAAATAATGTAACTGGAGTTCCAACATAAGAAGGACACAGACCTGTTGAAGCAGGTCCAGAGGAAGGTCACAAATATGATCAGAGAAATGGAACAATGCTCCCATGAGGACATGCTGAGAGAGCTGGACTTTCTCAGCCTGGAGAAGAGAAGTCTCTGGGGAGACTTTAAAGCAATCTTCCAGTGTGTAACAGAGATCTAGAAGAAAGCTGGAGTGGGAGTTCCAGCAAGGGCTTCTAGTTGCAGGATAAGGGGGAATGGCTTCAAACTGGAAGAGGGTAGATTTAGGTAAGATATTAGAAAGAAATTCTTTCCTGGGAGGGTGGTGAGGCACAGAAACAGGTTCCCCAGAGAAGCTGTAGATGCCCCATCCCTGGAAGTGTTTAAGGCCAGGCTGGATGGAGCTCCAAGCAGCCTGGTCTAGAGGAAGATGTCCCTGCCCATGGCAATGAGTCTGGAATGGAAGGATCTTTAAGGTCCCTTCTAACACAAACCATTCTAGGATTCCAACATTTACTCTTGTGAGCACTGTTAGTGTAGAAAACTCAGGAAAGATTGTAAGATTAGGCCCCATATTTCTGTAATTAGTAGCTTGGGCCTTGTTAGACTCAGAACAATATTCCTTCCTTTCTTTTATTTCCAGATGGTCCATGCTCTGGCCTTCAGGTTTCTGCAGAATTAGGAATACGTTTTATAAACACTGCTACATTTCTGTGCTGTGCTTAAGCAAGCCTTGGTACTGAAGCATTCAGACACTTACTCTGGGAAACAATCTGACAAGACATACTAGAAGAGCTTTAAACTATGTTTAGCAGAGAAAGAGGATGTTGTACTGGCTTATCAGAAAGGGACCGGGAACAACAGCACTGCAAGGGACAGCAGGGAAAACCTGTAAATCATCCCAAAAGAATTAGAGAGGGCTCTTCCTAGAAGATGAAGAGGTGGACAGCTTAGCTGAAGTGCCTCTACACCAACTCATGCAGCACCATGGTGGAATTAGAAAACTATGGCCTAATTGCTATCACAGAAACATGGGACATGAATTACATGTCTAGAGCACTGCAGTTGAGGACTACAAGTTTTCAGAAGAGACAGGCTAGGAAGGAGGGGTGGGGGTGTTGTGCTCAATGTTAAGGAAAAGTCAGATTGTGAAGATTCAGAATATTGTCTGATAAATAGCCATAACCAGACTGAGACCCTGTAGGTGAAAATCAAGGGCAGGACTAACAAAGGACAGCTGGTGACAGGGACCTGCTATAGGTTTCCTGATCAGAGGAAGCCTGTCAACAAGGCATTTTGCTTCAGATACAGGCAGCATCATGCTCACAAGCTCTCAACCTAATGGAGAACTTTAAACACCTAGTCATCTGCTGGGAAACCAATACCATAGCAAGCAATCCAGGAGACTCCTGGAGAGCATGGGGAACAACTTCCTGGTACACATATTAGACAAACTAACCAGAGGAGAGACATTACTAGACCTGGTACTCACTAAAGCAGTGGATGAGCACATCAAAAGAGTTAAGATCAGATGCAGCCTCGGCTGTAACAACCACCCTGGTTAGTTTGTGATCTAAGGGGTTTGGGCCTGGCAAGGAGCAAAACCAAGACCCTGAACTTTGCAAGCGTAGAATTTCAGCTGTTGGAAAAAAATGGTGAATGAGGTCCCCTAGGTAACTTTCCTTAAGAATAGAGGGGCTGATCAGAGCACAAGAGATCTTTACCCCAGTGTGTAGAAAATCATGGAAGTCAGGCTGGAAACTGGCATAACTGAGTGAGTATCTGCTCATCAAACTGAGTAAGAAATGTACAGCCCATGGAAGCTGGGACAAGTAACCTGGGTATTACGATATAATTTGAGTATTGCGATATAATTTGGGTGCATAGGGATGGCATCAGGAAAGCCAAGGCAAAGCTGGAACAAGCTTTGGCAAGAGATGTGAAGAAAAACAAGAAGGGATTTTATAAGAATATAGATCAGAAAAGAAAGACTAAGTAGAGTGTATCCATCCTGGTAAGTGAGAAGGGGCACCTGATGGTAATTGGAAGGCTGAGGTACTGACTGAGTTCTTTGCCTCAGTCTTTGCTGACAGTCAGGCTTCTCTCAAGGCCCTGGTTCTATCCGTGGGTATTGAAGGAGCAAAGTCCTTCACCCTATAAGCAAAGAACAGGTCTGGAATTGGTGAAACTGAACAGGCTCAAGTATATGGGATGTGATGAGATGCACTTCCAGATCCTGAGGAAAGTGGCTGATGTTGCCAAGCCCATCTCCATCATATTTGAAAAGTCCTGGCAGACAGGTGAAGTGACTGGAAAAAGGGAAACATCACTCCCATTTTTAAAAATGGAAGAAAGGAAGATCTGTGGAACTACAGACCAGTCAGCCTCACTTACATGTTTGGGAAGATTATGGAATAAATCTTCCTTGTAAATATGCTGAGGCACAGAAAAGACAAGGAAGCAATCTGAGGTGACCAGCAAATTTTACTGAGATCATGCCCAACCAATCTCATGGTCTTCTATGGTGCAGTGGCAGCAGTGATTGACGAAGGAAGAACAACAGATGTCACCTATCTCCTTCTGTAAGGTCTTGGTGGTCCCTAATAACATCATTAGCTCAGAACTGGGAAGACATAGATTTGATGGATGTACTATTCAGTGAATAAGGAATTTGCTGGATGGACACAGCCAGAGAGTTGTGCTCAATGGCTCTATGTCCAGGTGGAAGCTGGTGAGGAGTGATGTTTCTTAGGGCAGACAGAGGTCTGGGGACTGTTGCTCTTCAATATCTTCATCAATGACGACATTGAGTGCACCCTCATCAGGTTTATAGATGGCACAAAGCCAAGACTTTGAAAAGACAGGATCTTTCCTGGGGGAGTGAAGAGGGACCTGGACAAGCTTAAGCAATGGGCCCACGGGAATCTCAGGAGGTTCAGCCTGAGAGTGTCAACAGTGAAGTGTGAAGTGCTGCCCCTGGGTCAGGGCAGTCCCAGTTATGAGTACAGACTGGGAGAAGAACTCATTGAGAGCAGCCCTGTGGAAAAGGGCCTGGGGGTTCTCCTGTATGAAAAGCTGGACATGACCCAGCAGTGTGTGCTCACAGCCCAGAAGCCAGTGATGTCCTGGGCTGCACCATAAGGGAGGTGGCCAGCAGGGTGAGGGAGAGGATTCTGCCCCTTAATTCTGCCCTGTGAGACACCACCTAGAGTGCTGCACAAGCTCAGAAAAGACATCTGCCTGTTGGAGCAGATTCAGAGAGGAGTCAGGAAGATGATCAGACAGCTGGACCACTTCTCCTGTGAAGACAAGCTGAAAGACCTGGGCTTGTTAATCCTGGAGAAAAGGCTCTGGGGAGATCTTATAGTCTTCCAGTACCTTAAGGGGCTTATAATAAAAGAGGGAGAGAGACTTTTTATATGGGCAGATAGTGACAGGACAAGGGGCAATAGTTTTATACTGAAATAGGGCATGTTTACTATTGGCTATTAGTTAGAAACTCTTTACTGTAAGAGTAGTGATGCTACCAACTGTACTACTTGGACAGAAAGTGCTCATTTTATAATATCTTATCAGATGTTAAGAATTGTTAAAATATTTTTTCTTAGTTTTCATCCTTATTTTTAAATCTATGATTGTTGAAGTAAAGTCCATTAATTTTTCAGACAAGAAACAAACCCACAGAGGAATACTTCTGGTAGTTGAAACTGTGGGATTGGAAGTCTCCGTTTCATAAAATTATTTTGTTGTCTTTTTTCATAGATTTCTGAGTAACTTGTATTCAGATAGTGCTCAGTATCATTAATACCCAAAGCCTTGTGCAAATCAGTGTTCTTTGCTGTAATCATATTAAGCTGTATTTCCAATCAGAAAGCTAAGCAGGAAAAAAAGATGTGCCCCACTATGAAAACTTCCTTTTCATTTGCAATGGCAGATGCATCAGAAAAAGCTAAATGACACAGATGATCAAAAG